GTCGTCGTCGTCGTCGTCGTCTGCCGTCGTCGTCGTCGCCGTGGTTCGCCGCCGTCGTCTGCCGTCGTCGTCGTCGTCGTCGTTCGTGGCCGTCGTCTGCCGTCGTCGTCGTCGTCGTCGTCCGTCGTCGTCGTAGTCGTCGTCCGTCGTCGACGTCCGTCGTCGTCTGCCGTCGGTCATCGTCGGCGTCTGCCGTCGTCGCCGTCCCCGTCGTCGATGTCGTCTTCTGCCGTCGTCGTTCGTCGTCGTCCGTCGTCGTAGTCGTCGTAGTCGTCGTCGTCGTCGTCGTCGTTGCCGTCGCCGTTGTCGTCCGCCGCCGCCGCCTGCCGTCGTCGTCGTCGTCGCCCGTCGTCGTCGTCGTCCGTCGTCTGCCGTCGTCGTCGTCGTCGTCGTCGTCGTCGTTCGCCGCTGTCGTCTGCCGTCGTCGTCGTCGTCGTTCGCCACCGTCGTCTGCCGTCGTCGTCGTCGTCTGCCGTCGTCGTCCGTCGTCGTCCGTCGTCGTCGTCGTAGTCGTCGTCGTCGTCGTCGTCGTCGCCGTCGCCGTCGTCGTCCGCCGCCGTCTTCTGCCGTCGTCGTCGTCGTCGCCCGTCGTCGTCGTCGTCGTCCGTCGTCTGCCGTCGTCGTCGTCGTCGTCGTTCGCATCCGTCGTCTGCCGTCGTCGTCGTTCGCCGCCGTCGTCTGCCGTCGTTCGCCGCCGTCGTCTTGCGTGTTCGTCGTCGTGTCCGTCGTCGTCGTCGTCGGTGTCGTTTCGTCGTGTCGTCGCCGTCGCGTCGTCGTCGTCGTCGTCTGCCGTCGTCGTCCGTCGTCGTCCGTCGTCGTCGTCGTCGTAGTCGTCGTCGTCGTCGTCGTCGTCGTCGGTCGTCAGTCGTCGTGTCCGCCTGTTGCCGTCGCCGTCGTCGTCGTCGTCGCCCGGTCGTCGTCGGTCGTCGTCGTTCCGTCGTCTGCCGTCATCGTCGTCGTCTGTTCGGCTGCCGTCGTTTTTCGTTTCGGTCGTTCGTCGTCGTTCGCCGCCGCCCCCCATCGCCTGCCGTCGTCGTCGTCGTCGTCGCCGTCGTCGTCGTCGGTCTAGTTCGTCCGTCGTCGTTCGCAGTGGTGTCGTCGTCGTCGTCTGCCGTCGTCGCCGTCGCCGTTTTTGTCTGACGTCGTCGTCGACGTCGCCCGTCGCCGTCGTTCGTCGTCGTCGTCGTCGGTCTTGCCGTCGTCGTTCGTCGTCGTCCGTCGTCGTCGTCCGTCGTCGTCGCCGTCGTTTCGTCGTCGTCGGTCTGAGTCGCCGTCGTCGGTCGTTCGGCCGTCGTCTGCCGTCGTCGTCGTCGTCCGTCGTCGTCGCCGTCGGTCGTCGTCGTCGTCTGCGTCGTCGCCGTCGCCGTCGTCGTCGTCGTGTCTGCCGTCGTCGTCCGTCGTCGTCGTCGTCGTAGTCGTCGTCGTCGTCGTCGTCGTCGTCGCGCCGCCGTCGTCTGCCGTCGTCGTCGTCGTCGCCCGTCGCCGTCGCCGTCGTCTGCCGTCGCCGTCGTCGTCGTCGTCGTTCGCCGCCGTGGTCTGCCGTCGTCGTCGTCGTCGTCCGCCGCCGTCGTCTGCCGTCGTCGTCGTCGTCGTCCGTCGTCTGCCGTCGTCGTCGCCGTGGTCGCTCGTTCGCCGCCGACGTCTGCCGTCGTCGTCGTCCGTCGTCGTCGCCGTCGGTCGTCGTCGTCGTCTGCCGTCGTCTGCCGTCGCCGTCGTCGTCGTCGTCTGCCGCCGTCGTCCGTCGTCGTCCGTCGTCGTCGTCGTCGTCGCCGTCGTCGTCCGCCGCCGTCGTCTGCCGTCGTCGTCGTCGTCGCCCGTCGTCGTCGTCGTCGTCGTCGTCCGTCGTCGTCGCCGTCCGTCGCCGTCGTCGTCGGCCGTCGTCGCCGTCGTTGCCGTCGTCGTCGTCGTCGTCGTCGTCGTCGTCCTCGTCGTCGCCGTCGCCGTCGTCGTCGTTGCGCGCGCTCGGACGCGGCTCCCGGGCGGCTGCGAGGGGCACCCCGCCTGCGTCGCACAGGGAGCACAGGTACTCCGCCTGCGGGCGGCCGCTGGGGCCAGCCTGGGCCCACCGGAGGAGGGGCAGCAATCGGCGGCGAGCCCCGGGGGGGGAGAAGTGAGAGGGCGGAGATGAGGTCTTCTCAGGAGGCGGGACTTCTCAGAAGGCCCTCGCCTTCTGACAAGCTTTCGGTGTCTTCGGGGAAGGCTCACTGAACTTCTCAGAAGGCCTGGGGACTTCCGCACCTTCCGAGAAGGCCTTCTCCTTCTCACTTCCCCCACTCGCCCACCGCCGAAGGAAGCGGACAAACAAGTGGACCCCCTTCGCTTTCGACCCCGTGTTCGCCCCGCCCTTCCACCCAGACTCAAAGGGGGCGTCCGGCCTGCTGGAGGCCCTGGGGGGTCCCCTCGAGCCTGTGATCCCGAATGCCCAGGGCCGACTTTGAATAGAGGGGGAGATAGAGGGGGGGAGGGGGGAGAGGGGGGGGCCGGAGCAAAGGATTCCACATTTTTGTCCATCGACGGGAGGAGGTTTCGACGCTTCGACGTCGACGGCGCCTTGGACTCGGGTGGTTTTGTTTTTTGGGGGAGCGCTCGTGGAGGTCCTGGCCGCCGCAGCCGGACGCGGCTCGGAGCACCGGCCAGGCCAGGACCCGAGAGGGCTCTGGGGACCGATCTTGAGCGAGTGCCGCAGTGTTGTGACGTTTTCGGGCGCCCTGGATCTCTCCTGGGATACGTTCCGATAGATGTTGGAGGAACATCCAGCCGAGGGCTCTCCAGGACGGCCGCGGTTGGGCAGGCGGCCTTCTGTCTCAAATGGGCACAGGCCGCGGTGGCGCGGACAGCGAGTCCTGTTCAAAATGGACAGGAACTGCTTCTGGGCATCGTACCCATTCTTGCCGTACCCATTTCGATCGCGCCGAACGTTCTTCGTTCCTTTTCGGCCCCCGAGCCCCTCCAGGAGCATGCCGAAGCTGTCATAGCTCTCTGGAGACATCTCCCTGGAGACTCCGGGAGACCCCTGGACACTACGGTTCTACCACGCGCCCGCTTGGCAGAATGTGCAACGCCAGCGTTCGGACCGGCGAAGACGAGTAACACGAGGGTTTATAGGCGGCGAGCCAGGGGGGGAAGTGGGAAGGTGCGTGCCTTCTCAGAAGGCTCGGAAGTCCCCAGGACTTCTGAGAAGTTTTCTAAGCCTTCCCCGAAGACAGAAAAAGCTTCTCAGAAGGCGCGAGGGCTTCTGAGAAGTCCCGCCGCCTTCTGAGAAGGCCTCCTCCTTCTCACTTCCCCCCCTCGCTCGCCGTCGAGTTTAGGGACGGGCTCTCGAAGGCATAGAATCTGGTCGAAATCGGCGCGTTCCCCGGTGTGCCGACCCCAGCAGTCCCCAATACAGTAGAATCCGGCAAACATTTCTGGCGGCGACCACTCGCCATCGCTTGGACGTCCATCCCCTGTGCATTTTTATTCGGTTTCGTGCGTGTAATTTTTCGCAGCGTGAACAACGATGCTCCTCGATGGCCCTTGCCGATAAAAAAATGCACACGCCCAAGCGATGCCAAGACAAAGCGCTCGCTGCGCACAGACCTATCGTGCAGATTCTGACGTCTCTCGTGGCCATTGTGCTACAGTCAAGGCTGGTTGGAGAGTACACAAGACCCGTCCGAGGGCCATACTGCCATAGGACTGTAGGAAGGCATGGGTCGCGAATCAAACGACAAAAGGGTGCCCTTGATTTGGCAGGGTCGCCCTTACTAAGCAGCCTCGACTGCACTGATGATCGGAACAGCATCAAGATCAACGTGGCAGTGCCAAGAGTTGATGCCGAATAGAAGAAGAGGCTCTCCTGGCCATGGTGGGCCTCGTCCACGAACAAGTTCCCTGACCTAGGCCGAAGGAACGGCCAAAAAGACGACGCCACTCTTGAGCCCGGAATGGTCCTTATTTGCGCGCCTTGACTGTGCTGGCGATGGAGGGAGCATCTCAAGATCAACGTGGCCTCCAGCATATGTCCTGGTGGCCCCAAGACAGTCTCAAGGTGGCTCGAGGTGGCCACTGAGCCCTCCAAGGATGCCTTCCAAGGAAGCCCACACTCCCAACAAGCAAATCACGTTCGCCAGTGCTCTGCACTGAAGAATAATAAACCCAACGAACCAATCAACAAATCCAGCTTTCCTTTTCGCTTCCGATGGCCCCCCCGAGGCCTCGAGATAGATGGCCCCAGGATGGCCCAAGCGACTCCCCCGAGCTGCACAGAACGTCCCCAAAACAGACATGAGGCCCCCAAACATATTTCAAGAGGACGATCGCCTCCAGGATGACCCCTGCAGCGCCTGAGAAGCCGCCAGAAGGGCCGCCCCGAGAGAGCCTCAAGTGGGCCCCATAGGCTTCAAAAGTGGCTCCAGGAGGTACCCGAGAAGCTCCAGGCGGTCCCCGAGGTGCCCATGAAGGAGCCTGCTCGGACGGACTCCAGTTTCGGTTTGACGGTCGCCCTCCTCACCACCGTTCTCACGATAATTTATCGAAGGGTCGTTTCTGGATAAGGTGTCGGAGGTTCGCGAACCATCAGTCGATTGAGCTTCAATACCATGCAAACGAGATCGCGGTTTCGAGAACGAGCAACATCCATCCGATCCATCCGTGTAACTGTTGGAACTTTGAACTCAAATATTGTGATTCGCTTCGGTAATCTCGAGCGAGAGGGCTCGATATTGAAAACTACTCATCGTCCATTCGCGTAGCTGTTTGGATTATCAAGCTCCAGGGCACTGCGCTTTGTAGAGGTCTCGGAGGAGAGCGCGGCGTTGAAAACTAATCGACCTGCTCAGAGTAGGCGTTCAAACCTGTAAGGAGGTCGAGTGCCAGGGCTCGACTTTGAGAACGCACCGCCCTCCATCCATGCACGTGCTGGGTACTTGGAGGGCCCGCAGCCGGCTCCTTGAGTTCGAAGCAGGCTGCGCCGCGCCAGTCGAGCGCGTATCGGCCCACGCGCTGCGCATCGCGACCGTTCAGCGGCTGTTGTAGGCGTATCTGTTGCTGATCACGGCGTGCTGCTCGGTGGTGAGGCCCGCTGGCGGGACGCCCCCCAGGAACCACTCCATGCCCTCGCCAAACGTGCTCAGACCTGCGGTCGGCCTCTGGTCCTGCGCGGCCGCGCCCTCGCACGTCAGCCGCAGGTCGGGGGGCGTGACCGGGTCTGCCAGCACGCGAAAACTTCCACCCCTGCGGACGAAGGAAGCCCCAACCCGAGCAAGGAGGTCCACGCACCCGGCACTCGCCACTCTGGCGTCCACCTCCCAGGTCCACTCCAAAGACCAACAGGCGCGCTGCGGTAATGGAGCTACCCCAGCAAGACCGCGATCGACCTCCTCGAAAAACTCGACCTGAAGCTGAGGGCCTGCAAGAGACACATGGTCTAGCTCGGGGCAGCCCATAAGACTTCCCTAGAAGAAGAAATACAAAATAAACATAAACTTGTGGCGCTCCACGCGTCTTTTTTAGATCTGCGCTGAACCCCCCTGCCTGGTGCGCGGAGCGCGCCAGGGGCGGCGCTGGAGGCGCCGCCGGGGGGGAACCCAGGCACCGATACAAGAAATCCGCGCGGAGCGCCAAAAGTTTACATGTATGCCGTTTTTTCTTCTTCGATTCTAGCAAACTCTGCACCCAATCTGGAGGGAGACCGTCCAAGCCCCGTCAGCGTGATGGTACGGAGCGTCGGAGACATCGGACTACCATCGCTCAAGGGAATCATACTTCCGGATGGCGGGCCGTGGAGGAAACGTAGTTCTAGATTTACCAGCCGACTCGAAGAACTCAGATCGAGGACGGTAGGCTCAAATAAACCGCCCTGTCCGTGAGTCCACCAAGACACAGCCCCAAGCCGTAATTTCTTCAGGCGCTCTAGTCGTGTGAACGCAGCTACGTCCATGCCATCGACATCCCTGTACTGCGAAACGCTGCTACCAGACGGACGTTCGATCACGAAGGTTGCAATGCTTACATCTTCGAGAGGCAATATTGCCAAGACGTCGCTCGTTAAGGTTTCGAAAGCCTGCCTTGAAAGCGACGCCAACGTGTTCGGATGTGGACTGCCCGAATCCAGCACGAGTTGCCGCAAATTCTGGAAACCTGCGAAATGGCGCACTACGGGAAAAGCCATCAACTCTGCCTCGTCATGATATGCCACTCGTGTGGAAATCGCCAACGCAGGCATGTTCAAAATCAAGAGCTGCTTCAGATGCGGCAACTGGCGACGTGCTGTCAACAAGGTACCATCCAAACGCTTCGCGTCCAGGCTCAACCTGAGGACAACGTGCTGCCAAGGGTCCCCTGTCAAGACGGAAGAGTGGCTGCAACGGCTTTGGAATGATGCCACAGGGGCGAAATCTAGAACCAACTCATCACAACAGTCCGCTTTTGCCACAAGTCGTTGGGGAACTCTAGCGAACATGTTCCCAGGGCGCAACTGAATGTCTGCCACGGGTACCTTTGAGCTCTGATTGCTCATGCAGCTTGACCGTGCACGCATCGCGGCGCTGGATCTCAACTCTGGTGTGACCTCCAGGACGAGGTGCCATCTTGAGAGCAACAGCCGGACCTGACCGAGAGGCCTCGCGACTTCACCAAGCCGTGCCAAACTCACAGTGTCTAGGTGCGGCGCGACAACCGCGTAACCTAGCTCTTCCCAAAACTCAGCAAGCCTCATTCCTACGCACTTGTATGACACGCGTGCTGATGCTCAAACCACAGAGCGATACCGTAAATACCGGCTCGGATCACGGCAATACTGGACTTGAGCTCAAGTTGCTGCAGAAACACGTGAGAGGACGAAATCAAGGTCAAGTGCCTCAGAAGTCCACAAAGACAACACACCTCAAAACCTGTGGTAGGCTGTGTGGCCGATTCTGCGGAGTGGCGAGAGGACCCGGCTGCCTGGCCACCTCGGGGGAGATGACGGCAGCGCCCATCCAAGTAATTGGCGGGAGAAGGAAGACGAGGGCGGGAGAGCAGGGGACTGGCCGCAGAGGTGAGGTCATCGGGGGTCAGACAAGCCCCGCGACCAACTCAGAGCAGTGCAGGCCAATGAAACATAATGCGATGGGCAACGAAGCGACAACGAGGCGGGCACGAATAGGAAGCCTGGAAAACGCAACCCGCTCCTTATAAATCAAATAAGGAATCTTAGTGCGAGCATTTCGGAGATTTGCTTCCAGACGACCTTGCCCACTGGAATCATGTAACCCAATCGTGTTTCTAACCCCCCTCTCTCCAACTAGGTTGCCGTGTGCTTGCTCAGCTGGGATTCGGTCAATGTTCGCTCCCGCTGTGGCCAGTAAGCCAGGACTGTGCTTCATTGGGCTGAATGGCTGCGATTTGCGATCAAATAATGGCTACGTAGCTGTGCTGTGCTCACAGGCCGCGCCAGTGGGCTTGGCTTCGCATCAAGTGGCCTGGCCTAGTCTAGCGGAGGGTAATTTCGTCCAGCCTACCTAGCTCATGTCAAGTTGGCTTAGCTGATAGCTCCTTCGCCTAGCGTGACCAACACGACGTTGGCTGGGATTGGGTACGCTAGGGCTCGAGTGGGAATATTGATTTCTCTAGCCTAGCTGCAGCAGCGCACAGTGACACATATACCCATTTCTGTATCCGAAATATAAGAATCGACCAACCAAACCTGGCGTTGATTCTCGTCTGGCCGTGGACTTGCTGAGTTCAGCTTCGCCGGGTTTACCTTCAGTAAGCGTGCACAACTGAGCGCAATAAGGTGAGGACGACGGCGAGGGCCACAATGACGGGTATGACAATCAGCCTGATGAGCTATGATCTATTGAGAGGGTGACAGTGAACTGGGTACAGGATATAGGGAGGGTCGGATGCGGAGGCGAGGGTCAGGGATAGCAGGGAGCCTGGACTGCATACCGGCATGGAAGTAAGCCAACTGATGGAGGAAACAGGGGGACGGATGGGAGATCTGATCGTAGGGGTGCGTCTTCCTACAACTGAGTGCACAGAGGACCGAGGATCTACATACGTAGGGTACACACATGCAAAGCCCAGGGAGGAACATCGATGCAAAAGAAGAGAGTATAGGAGAGAGAACACGTATAGAGGGAGAGATAGAGGGAGAGACAGACATAGAGAGAGAGAGAGAGACTGAAATATAGAGAGCGAGCGAGAGAAGATACATGATCGACCCACGAACCGGAAAGAATATGGAATGCAAGACACCTGATCGGGCGACGGGCAATTGCAATGCTCTATGTATCGATCTTGGTGTACCGTGCCCAGGGCTGTGCTGTGCTGTGCTGTATTGATCTGCGATGTGACATGCCGTGATTGTGCTCTATAGCGTTGTGGATCAAGTCATCCTTTGCATTCGAGTCCTGACCGAACTGATCTGGATCTGAAGCTCGAGCTGCCTGAGCACAGAATAGCCGCCCCAGAGCTAGTTGAAGTGGAATTGCACTAGAGAAAAACCACAGTCAGTGGATGGTTTTTGCTGAGGAGATCGACAGGGAACCCGGGAGCCCGGGAACCCAAAACCCACCGAAATCGGCCCCGAGCCAATAACCGGGAACCCGGGAAACCGGAACCGGGAACCCGGGAACCCGGCCTGCTACCAAAATCGGCGGGAAACTTTCGCCAAATCTTCCAACTTCCGCTAGGACGCCTTCAGTGCAAGCACTGATTGGGGAAAAGTGGAGGACGTTCAATTGATTCTACCTCAAAATCCGACTCAGCTCCGAAAAGGAACGACACGACACGGGGCACAGGCTCACAGACGCCCCACAGGATGTGCCAGGGGCGCAATAGGGGATGCGCCAGGGGACGTGTCAGGGGACGCATCAGGGGACGTGCCAGGGACCTGCCACGGGACGTGCCAAAGCGCGTGCCATGGGGCGGCCAGAGGACGTCATGCCAAGAGGCGTTGCAAGGGGCCCGCCACGAAACGGGCAGGGGAAACGCCTGGGGACGAGCAAGGAAACGCAACAGAGGACGAGCCAGGGAGCGTGCCTCGCCGACTGGCGTAGGGGACGTGCCAGGGCACGTCACGCCTGAACGTCGCAAGGGACGCGCCAGGGGGCACGGCAGGACGGGCGGGATTGGACTGCGACGCACTCTACTACGACAAGCGTTTCTCTCGAGACATCCTCGACCCATCCTCGTCTTAGAAGACATCCGCCTGGGCGACCTGGGTACGTGAAACGATCGAGACGCTCTCAACACCTCCTCATGCTAGACGTCTGCCTGAGCGACCTGGACACGTGAAACCAAGCGTTTCGCTCAACACATCCTCAGCACATCCTCATGCTAGACATCCTCCTGGGGCGACCTGGACACGTGAAAACGAGCGGTTCGCTCGAGGCATCCTCCGAATATCTTCACAGAAATCCGCCTGGGCGACCTGCGCACGTGAAAACAAGCGTGTCGCTCGAGACATCCTCAACACCTTATCATGCTAGACATCTGCCTGGGCGACCTGCGCACGTGAAAGCAAGCGTCTCGCTCGAGGCATCCTCAACACATCTTCAGATTAGACATCCGCCTGGGCGACCTTGGTACGTGAAAGCATGCGTCTTGCTCGAGACTTTCTCAACACCTCCTCATGCTAGACATCCTCCTGGGAGACCTGGACACGTGAAAACAAGCGTCTCTCTCTCTCTCTCGACATCCTCAACAAATCCTGATGTTAGATATCCGTCTAGGCGACCTGGACACGTGAAAACAAAAGTTTGGACACCTGGACACGCGAAAACAAGCGTCTCGCTCGAGACATCCTCAACAAATCCTCATGCCTGGACGACCTGAACGCGTGAAAACAAGCGTGTCGCTCGAGACATCCTCAACATATTTTGATGTTAGACATCTGCCTGGGCAACCTGGAGGCGTGAAACCAAGCGTCTCGCTCGACACATCCTCAAGACCTGGACACGTGCAAACAAGCATTTCACGTGAGACATCCTCTGAATTCTGGCCCCCAGGAGAGGGACGATCTATAGCACAAATCAAAAATTCGCTCGAGACATCCTCAACTAATTATGCACAACAAGCGTTTTCTTCGAGACATCCGCTACCCTATCCTTTGTCTATCTGACTTTCCCAAACCAGCACCTCGCACGGGGCATCCCCAACTTGTAATTCGCCGGTCCACCTCGACCTAGTTGTTTATCGCAGATTACATTCGGGAGACCACTTCAAGTCGAGGCCGGGGGGAACCATCTAACATGATCGACCCACGAACCCGGAAATGGATATGGAAATGCGAGGCACTGCAAAGTTTTCAAAACACCTGATCGGGCGACGGGCAATTGCACTGCTCAATGTATCGATCTTGGTGTACCGTGCCGAAGGCTGTGCTGTGCTGTGCTGATCTGCGATGTGCCATGCCGCGCTTTGCTCTATAGCGTTGTGGATCGAGTTCTCCTTGGCATTC